TGGGAACGAAAATCCAGGTTGATGCACACACACCCATCATCATCAGTGAAGAAGAGCTGGTATGTGAACTGTTACAGGAGCTTGACCCCTACAGATTGATGTGACCTGAGGGTGTTAAGAGAGATGGATGGAGCTGTTGGGAGGCCACTCACCCTAATCTTTGAGAAGTTGTGTAAATCAGGGGGTGCCCTAGAAGACTGGCAGAAAGCAAAAGTCACCCCCATCTACAATACTTGCTCAAAGGAAGAGCCAATGAAATTATAGGCTCATCAGTCTTGCTTTAGTCCCCAGGAAGGTTATGGAGCAAATCCTCCTGGAGGCTGTCACAGGTCAGATGAAGCACACAACTGGTAACAGCCAACATGGATTCACCAGGGGCAAATCATGGTTGACAAATCTGATGGTCTTCTATGACAAAATAACCTTCCCAGTGGATGTGGGGTGAGTGGTGGCTATTGTCTACATGGATTTCTCTAAGGCTTTCATACAGTTTCCCACAGCCACATCCTAAAGAAACTGATGCATTATGATCTTGTCTGTGCAGTGGTTGGGGAACTGGATGACTGGCCCCACTCTTTTCCCAAGTGGTGATCTGTCATTAGTTGGATTGGAATAGTCTTCTCAGGGAAGTGGTGGATTCCCCAACATTGGATACTTTTAAGATTCAGCTGGGCAGCATGCTGGGACATCTTGTTTAGACCATGCTTTTGTCAAGAAAGGTTGGACCAGATGACCCTTGAGGTCCCTTACAACCTGGTATTCTATGATTTATGAATCTTCAGGAAACAAGGTGTCTACCACTCACATAACTGGTTGCTAAAGACACTAATCCAGATATTTTGGTTTTCATAGAGTGGCTACTGCAATATTTGCATACAATTTTGTGGTTTGGATTAAACCCTGGTAGGCAGCTAAACCAGCCCCAGCACACTGTACCAATAATATTGTTTCCAATTTAGTAATGAAAATGACCATTCCTGTCATAGCTATTTTGGTTGCTGAAGACTATGACTGTCTAAATGAAGCAGCATTCAAGACAGCTACACCATACTGCAGGGAACATATGAACGTACATGCCCTATGAAAACATAATTTATGCAAAACAAAGGAAACTTTTGAGGACACAAAACATGGTATGAAAATTGGAGACACATCAGCTGCCTTTGGATGCCAGCACTGCAAATTTTCTCAACTGCACTTTGCAATTAAGCAGTTATCAAGCTAGCATTAACGATTATACATTGAAGGCCAGAAGCAAACAAACTGTAGTGGCATGGAGCTCCTGAAGGCTATATTTCCCTGCTAAGAAACAGTATGAATTGACCCATGTTGCTATGACCAAAATTATTGCCATATTCAAATTAGCTAATTTAACTGTATTTTGGGTTTCTCTATGCTACAGTGCTGTTTACCACATAGACACTCTTTCCTGTGTCCTGGTAAAAAATTGCTAATAGGGTAGTACAACTATTTCATATATCAGCTTTGTGTCTTAACCTTCTTGTGCATTCGGGAAGCTGGAAGAGAAATCTAGTGAAGACTTCCAATCTCCAGCAAATCAAGAGTTGTTAACACTCCATGCTACTCTAGGCAAAAGAGGTCATTATATTCATTTTGAAATATAGATCCACTGATTTTTTTTTTTTATCTACAAAAAATAGAGGCATCTAAAAAAAGTCTTTCTCTGTTGTTCACAACTAGTTTTAGTTTAATACATTTAAAACTTAAAAACTGCAGACTTAACCACATATATTGATGATGTCTACTATAAAGAATATGTATTGAATTTAATATTGCCTCAATTAAGTATCTGCATTTCCTCCGTAACTTTTCATTTACACTAATGCATTTATCGATGAAAGTATTTTTCTGTAGATATGCAAAACAATTTAAATAATTTTGTTGTGGTGAAACCAACAAGTATTTAGCACCAGTGTGAAGATTTACAGGACAGCATAGTACAACACAGCCAGGTTTATGAAAATACCAAATTCCTTGTTGTGGAAATATTCCCTGGTACCTAAGCCTGGCTTGAAGCCCCAGCCGCTCCTGACATCTGACAGAGGTTTCACATCTCTTTTCTGCCCCATCAGGAAAAGAGCCTGGTCCTGCTGGGAACTTGGATCAATTTAGCTCATTCTAATGAATCTTTATGGGCATAGAAGAAAGAATATCCCAGTGGTTAGCATGGTAGCCACAGGCTACTTCTGTGATCTTTAACAATTCTGCCTCTAAGTGACTGCTCAAGAATGCAGTAAGTAGTCAGTAGGATTTCCAGAGACACTTACGTGCCTGTTTGCCATAGAGAACAATAGAAATCAGGCACCTGGTGCATTCAAAATCCCTGTGTAGATGCCTATAGCCGTGTCTAGACTGTAGAGTAGTTGCATTCCAGGGCTCTATGCCTTGTGTGCACAGCTTTCCTTCCATGGAAACCAAGGCACAGAGTGGGGAGAGGAGGATGCTTCACTCAGAGATTACACTTTGACACAGCTGACTCACTGGGAAGCAATCCTGCAGCCCTTCCTACATCTTTATGTATCTAAGCAGTTTTAAGGTTCTAAACAAAGAGTCAAAGTACGTTAAAAATCAAGCTCTTTATTGCTCTGGGACTTGTTTCTCCATCAGTAAGATAGAGACTGCAATTCTTTTCTCATATGGCCATTATAAAGAAAAATACCCCAATGGCTTTGCAGCACTCAGAAGCCATAAAAACACCAACCAAGAAGTGCATGACTCTTGGTCTATGCAGGGTCTGTATTACCAGCCAGGGAAGAGAAGTTAAGGTCGTACTAGTCCTCCTATTCATGCGCTTTGTCCAGCATGTAACTCCTCGTTCATAGTGCAGTAATATTCTTCCCTGTGATGTGAGCAATAGGTACAACCTTCACAGAATGAAATGGTGTCACTAACAGGCTGCTTCTGCATGACTTTTCCATCCCCAGTTGCTATACAAATTCTCACTGAGAACTGCACACAAACATTTGACCTACCTTGGATTTCCATTTCACCAAAATAATGTCCAACTTAATCCCAATAAATTCTATGGCTAAGCTTCACTTTTGCACTGAACTGTGGGAGTTATTTATAGCTATAAATGAGGATGATTTTTGAGAATACTGTCTCTATAGAAACTGGTGGTGGACTAGACCAAGGAGGTTTCTTAAAGGAAATTCCCTGCTCTTTTCCCTTCATGATGCCAGAAAGAGGTTGCACCCCTTGTTGGCAGGTAGGGAAGGATGTATTTGACATATTTGGTATTATTAATCTCTCTTCCATGAGTAAAAATGTAAACATTTACAATTGACTATTTACTTACATAAAAGTGGTTTTTTCAATTGTATTTCATCTGCATTCATGCTTTCATTCCACTTACATTCCAAAAAACCAAGGGAAATTCCAGAGCACACACACAAAATTGTATTAAGATGGTGTTAAGGTTGCTGACTCTCATTCCTAAATAACACAAAAACTAAAAGCACAGGAAATCCTGAGTTAAGGCTCTTTCACAAACTTTGGACATAATTTCCTTTTTCATAAATAATACTTCCTTCAGTGCTGGTGGAATCAATTTGTGGCTGGCTGTTCTGGCATCGTGACAAAGATGTGGCAGCAGAATACAGCATTTCTTTTCCACTTATATGTGTGGTATTGCCATAAGGCCAAACCTTTTAAAAGCAAGTAGTGATTTTGACTACTTAACGCTGAGATGTCTGAAGTTCTCTGATTTTTGGAGATTGCTGCCAGAAGGAAAACTGGAAATCATTTTAAAAGATTCGAAAATCCTACATGGAGTAGGAATCCCAATAAAAGATATTCTTTCAGGTAATTGCCAGTCATGGTCAAATTGCTTCCTCTATAGAGATTTTAACATCTTTCCCATCCCTAATGATTCACTTTTCTGAAGACATCTCATGAAATCCAAGTATTACAATAAACATCAGTCTTTCCCTGAAGGGAACTCCTGTTGTGAAAAATAATAGTAAACTACATTAGCACGTTTTCTGTAACCAAAAGAGTCTGTGTTAAAGTGGAATCATTAAGAGCCGTTCACCTACTTAGGCGCTGTCAGTTTCTGGGGCGGGTTCCATACTTTGAGGCCTGTCAGTGGATTGCACTTGCTGCTGGGGAAGGAAGCAATAAATGTTTAGATGCTGATAGCAACATTCCTAGCTATTTTAGAGCAGGAAGTTGACAAGCAACATGTAGCTGGAACAGCAAAGAATGTCCTAGTAGTCACTCTGAATTTGCTTACTGCTTGGAACTAGCCTAGACCAGCAAGGACAGTGCTGCAACTCATGTGATAACCACCATTTTGTGTTTTTTCACTCTTACGTGACAAAAATACACCCCAAACCAAAAAACAAACTTTGCACACTCTGACACTGTTAAGGCACCACATAACCTGATAGCAAAGCTATAAATCACACCCATTGCTTCAGCATCTCGAGATGTTTTAAAACATATTGAACGGAATGTTCTAACATCAAATATCATGCGGTTTTCAAGGCTTTCCTTAACAATATAAGCTCATTTATAGAGCAGCAAAACCAATTGATACCAATGAAAATTATATATACACTGAAAATACTCTTGTTCACACAGAGTAATAACTGACTTGATGAACAGTCCATAGTTAAGTTATTCTCATTTTATATTGCAGCTAAGATGATGCAGCAATGCAGCTGAAGGGGTGAAAGAAGCCCTGTACCCCAGTTAGCCTATGGCTAGATACTATCCCTGCTCCCTGCATATTGTACCTAACAATAGTGTACCTGCAAGGTGAGCCAATTCAACTGGATGATCCTGTGGATTAATAACTCTGAAAAGGAAAAAAAAAGAAACAGTTCCTCACTGGGTCAGGCAGCCACATCAGGTCACACTGAAGCTGCACAACTTAGATCTGGTAACAACAGCTGGGGGAGAGAAGGGCAAAGCAAGACCATGCTTTCCAGCAGCTGCCATCAATAAAGGCCCTTAGCTATAGCATAAAAAATTACCCTCCGCCTAACTGGAGAGTATGGTGCAAGCTGGTATAAGGACAGCTGGAATACTTCTCTTCATGCACAAAAGAAAGCAGTGGACCGGACGACAAACAAAACACAGGGCCGGTACCCCCTTATCCGGCATGCTGAAAGCAGGCTGGGGTGGACCACTGAGAAGAGCTGGCAAGGCCCTAATTAAGTCACCAGTAGGATACAGCTGCAACAAGGCCTGAACACCTGAGGGGTTTAAAAATAGTCATTGTCACTTTGCATTGTCACAAGAAACATATTTCAAATTAGAATGTCAGGAGCCTGCCTTTCCCATCCCATTCAGGAGCTGAACAACTGTATTTTACAGAGTCACCAAAATACCTGTTTAGTGTAGTTCCACTCATCATAGACCTTTTCAGCAGTTTGGCTTACATGTGACAAAGAAACCGGTTGTGATGTCCACCCTAGACAAAAATGAGCAAGCCTTTGTCATCCCACCTTAGCTACTGTCCTAGAAACCCATTACAGGCCACACCAAGAAATATTCAACTCAAGTGTCATTCTTTTACCTTACTTCAGACATCTACATTAGATGAAATAGACTGTGCTCCACAAGATGCTTACTTCTTTCCCTTGACAGTAAAGGGAACTTAGGAAGACTAGCTCAGGTGCGGCTGTCTGTTTCAGCCAGCCAAAGTTAAATGAAATGTATCTCATCTGAGGAGCTGTCACCTTCTGTCCAGCTGTAGATGATGAAATACATGGTACTATGATTAAAATATTTCGGAGTAAATGTAGTGATTCTCAGAATTAGTTGGTTTTGTTACTTTTGTAACCCCATTCCATTAGCGGTTTTCTCTACCTAGTTAACCTCATATCAATCACAATGTGTCAGGGCAAAGACATGTACCTTAACTAAGCACTGTAAAGGAAGAGAAAGAATACATTTTCTGGATTTCAATAATAAAATTTTATTAATTAAGGATCAGAGCAAATAATTTCAGTAATCTCTCGGCAGCTGCCTTGTGTATTGCTTTGTTCAATTTAAAAGTTTGAAGAAGCGGAATGTCTACTGGTTTCCTAGGCATCTTCATGAATCTCATCATCAGGGAAATGTTGCCGTAATATTTACATGTAGTAGTCTCTAATTTATTTTAAATCTGCTCATTCTTGTTATAGTTTCCCTTACAGCAGTAAACAATCCTTACCCTGTCCTGGTACTTAGATGCTCCAAAGATTTTATGCCATTACTATACCATGCTTACTACTTGGTGGTTCAGCTGTACCTGTGTGGCTCTCTTAATCTTTCCTTGTGATCCAAGCCTATCTTCCACACAATTATTACTTTGAAAAAGGTCTCCTAAAAAGAAAATTTGCTTAAATTAATCCAGTTCAAAAAAACCCCATCTTTTTCTAATTTACAGTCACAGACTCTTTGACCTATGTAAAATTTATCAGTAACTGTTCGAGCTTTTGCAGCCTGTCTTGGGTTTAGAATCTTTTCTTGGTACCAGCCACTGATACACTGTTATGTAACCCCCATGGCAGGGGGGGTGGAACTAGATAATCATAAGGTCCTCTTCAACCCTAACTATTCTATGATTCTAAGATTGCCAAAGAGGAAGAGTTCAAGTGCTACTTTGTGTTTGCCCTGTGTTGAGCCTTCAACACGTTTCCTTCATTTTCGATATTGCTAGTACTTTGTCAATGTATACAATATGCACTGTAACTGTCTTAATTTTTTTAAAGTAGTATGAAAAATACAGAATTCAAACCCAGTTGATAAATCAATGGGAAAAGAGCTCAAATACATAAGAGACTTGCTGTACCTTGACAAGCAGAGGCTGTGCATCAGCTGAGCACTCAGTATCCAGACTCTTAAATCCTAAAAAATGCAGTGGAAAAGGCACCAGCAATGGTATGGGTCTCTGAATCCAAAGTCTTGACACTGGCAATATGTTTGGTATTCGTCTTAAAGTCTCTGCTTCTGGTTTAACTTCATAACATAGTATAGATGTAAGTAAATGTTCACTTCATATGTAAGTGAAGTGAGTTTACAGTTACAGAAAAGTACTTGATTATAGTACAAAAACACCTCTGAAGTTTAGAAACTGTAGCAGAAATCACCAGTTTTGCCTGAGTTTCTTTCAATCTCACAAATTTTCAATCGCTTTCCTGATTTTGTGAGACCTGATTCAGGATCTCTGCATGGCTGGAGTTATCCGTATGGCAATAATTGCAGCAATTTCACCATAAATAAAATAACGTCCTTTTAAATAAAGACATAGCTTTCAAAGTAGCTTCATTTCACCCTCCTACAACAGCTTTGGTATGAAACTTGACATGGTAGTGACAGAGGAGCCATGAGTTTTTCTCTAATGACCATGAAGATAGTTTTTTCTTCAAATTTTAATGGATATTATATTATAGACAGGCATGGATGCACACAATGCCTCACAAGGTTGTCCAACATTTTGCATTATAAGACGGTTTTCAGTTATTTGTAACTTAGCCAAAGTTTAATTATTTGCACTGAAATTTTCCACACTGAGCATCTGCCTCAGGCTGCATTTGTTTTTTTTGGAAACAAATAACTCAGCCATTTCTGAGATCAAGGCAAAGGGAAAATACGTCATTTTCTTCATAAAAACCAACAGAGTTCTGCTGAGATGTCTTAAGGCTACCACAACTTGTAGAATGGGCTGAAATGTTGTCAGCGGCTTGCCTGTATTTTGAGAATATACCTCCCTCCACCTCTTAACAGAATTTTGGCTAAGTTCTAGTCCTTTGGGAAAAAAAAAGAAAAAGCAAAGCAAAATCAGTTCACACATGCTCAGTACAGAAGTCTCAGGTGTCAGCAGTTGCATTTCTCAAAGATTCTGTAATTATAGAACATGTTCCAGAATGAGGCTGAGCAGGATTTTCCTTGCAACTACAGCTCTACGTCATACTGGGCTACAGTCCAAGACGGAGTGCAGAAGCTCTATTTCTCCCACCTACTCCAAACAGGAAGCAAGAAGGAGGAAGCTGCACTATTTAAAAGCAGAGCTTTCAAAAAGCTGATCTGCCCAGAGATGAGGAGCAGACAGGAACCAGGATGCCAGAAAGTAAAGACAGTGCAAGAAGAGGGAACTGGGATAGTTACGGTGACAGAGACAGTAAACTGCACATGGAAAAGGAAGTGAAAAGATTCAGAGCCAGCAGGAAATAAAAAAATAAAAATAAAAATAAGAAGAGTTGTTGAAGTGTTGGCAACTGTGAGGAAGACTGAAGGATCCAGCCTGTCTCAGGAAGGGATTGATGCTGGGCATCAGTCTACAGAGAAATATATGGTGGAGAAGGAAAAGGCACCAGGAAAGACAGAACAGATTAAAAGCTAGAAAGGAAAGGAACTAGTGGAAGGAACTGAAATGTACTAAGACTTGGAAATGGAGCTGGAATGAGGACTGAGATTAAGGAGAAAATAAGATTGAGGCAATGACTCTTAGAGCCAGAAGTGGTTATGCTTTTCAGGAATAAATTCAAGCATCTGTGTTCTGTGGATGTGCATTCAATCTGGACCTTGTAGTGGAGCCCAAGCCCATATCTTCTTCAACAATCCAGTGACTGTCAGAAAATACACCAGAAACTGTCCATCAAAATGTTCTATTAATTTTTTTGTAGTACACATAGAGGACAGAAAATACTATTCCTAGTTAATCTGTTAGTTTAAATGGCAGGAGACTATGTGGGGCACCTACATTTTCCTAACCCATTCATAAAACCTGCACATTTAGGCATGACAGATGGAACATGTGGGAGATTTATTTTCTAGTTTGGATCAAAAAAAGAGAAGCTTATCTACACATAGAAAACTATGATGGAACAATTTTTAGACTCCAAACCAAGAGATCAGAAGTTAGGAAATAGAAAAAATAAAGCTATACAGTCATGGAGACTGTATATTGGCCCCTTTGGGTTTAGGTGGACACACTTCTTAATTGTACAATTATTTATCTGCTTGATTTATTTAACAACGGCACTATACACCTTCTTCTCTCTCAAAATCCCTCTGTAATTCTTAGCAAGTTGTCTACTCTAAAAGCTTTTCATACGTGGTGCCTCTTTTTTTGAGTGCCTCACCTGAGTTCCTATGATCTGGCTTACAGAACTGTTGAACACTTGAGAAGTCAGCAGGAATCACAACTTGAATGAATAAATAAATTGCTATATTAAGTCTCAAGATCATGCACCTTGAACTAAGCACCCCAAACTATTACACAGTTTTACACTTCTCTTGTAATAAAACAGGAGTAGCTTTATCACTTTAACTGCTAGAGTTGTATCATGGAAGTAAACATATTCATATTTGTGAGGTACTCAGAGAACACAGTGATAAGAACCACTGAAAAGATCAAGAGGAGATTAATCATTCTGTTGTCAGATAAATTTTTAATATTGTGAAATAAACAAGGCAGAGGGACTCATACTGAACAAGGACAAGAAAACAAAATATCAGATATAATTTTAAAACTACCTGTCACTCCTGAGTGCTGACTGAGGCTTGGATCTTGAAGAAAAAAGTCCCTATGTCAGTATGTAACTAAAGGCATTTGCACAGGGAGATGAGTAAAGTTTGCATACAGCCTGACTTCTGGCATTTTCTGCCTTTGGATTACTTGACTTTGCAGCTTTAATGACATTCTTAAAGCCTATCATTTAATATGTTTTATACAAATATACAGAGCCCTAGGAATCTTGCTTATTATAATCACCACTATCACCAAAACCCCAAGATGGCATTATAGTTTTGTTTTACAAAGATGGTTGAAAACAAACATACTTCTGTTTTTAATGCTTTATGTAGTTAAAAGGTTTCAAAACCTTTTCTTTCTTTCTTCTTTCTGTTTCCACCTCTCTCCTTCATTCTTTGTAAATGCCTTCTTTCTTCAAAAACTGCAGGACTAGCTCTGGCTGAAACAGCTGCAGAAACAGCTTGGCTTCAGACATTTACCACAGCAGATTTGCTTAATCAAACAACCATCAGAGCAGCTTTGTTCCAAGAAGTTGCCAAAAGCCTGTCATGCTACAACTTCAAAAAGCTGCTCCAGCAGCTTTGCTGCACACCAGAGGTGCTCATCATGCGTGGAGGTGACATCATACGTTTCTAAGTAGGAAATCCAATGATATTAGTGTTCTGTACATTTCTGTGGTGCAGTTTTACCCATCTAATAAAGGCATCGGTAGTAATAAATGTTACATTTTAGAGTCCACAGCCGTTTTATCTTGTTTATATCTTTTACAAAAAAAATGTGTTACTTTGTCCTAGATACCTCCCACAGTTGGCCTCTGTCCAAACACGAATTATTTCACAGAGTTTGAAGCAAACTCTTTCAACAACTTTGAACAGGCAATTGGAATCATAAAAGCAACAGAGAGCCCTCAGAATAAAAGAGTAGGAAGCATGCTGTATGGTCATTGAGTTTCAGCCATCATCGACTACC